TCCTTACCTTAAGTATTCTCCCAAAAGCTCAATCATGTTCCTTGAGAGATCCCTATACTTAAACGTTTAAACCTTCTCTAAAGGAGACCTTCTTTGTCTCTTGAACCTTTTCATACCTAGCCAAATGAGTTTGCATTCACTTCACATCTAGATTCATGGTTAGCATTTAAAGAATGTTAAAAGGAATGGTCGATTTGAATGCTTGCCTAGGTTTTATGATTGATGACATCTTGTGTTGAGATAAGTATGATTAAAGTCTTCAGAGTATGGTTTATGATCTGCATTCTAGAACTATAGAGAAGGACATTGATTTTAGCTACTTTAGCTGCAACTATTGGTTCTGAATCCCCACCTTCAAACTTCTCTTCTTACTTTGAATTTGCTTGAGGCCAAGCACATAATAAGTTTGGGGGAGTTGATGTGTCTGGATTTTACTCATTTTAGCACGATTTTTATGCATTTTTTAGTCATTCTAAGTCTCATTACTTGATCATTTTTGCATATTTGCCTTGATTTGCTTCACTTGTAGAATCTAGGCCTTGCAGTGCATGCATTGTAGTTTTTGTGCATAAATAGGTGTTTACCCAAGGGAAAAGAAGCAAATCAGGACAAATCGACCAAGTGTAGATGTTGCATCCGATCGAGCAGGGGGATCCGAGCCATGGAATCGATCGAGTGTTCGAGTGGACCAGAGAAGTAGCTCGACCAACCATTTGATCATGTCATCCGACCAGACTGATCGAGTGCACGACCGAGCAGACCGATCAAGCACAGTTAAACCGACTTTCTATTTTGTCTGCTAGTGTTTTAGGGTTACCTAAACTTGCTATAAAAAGGCTCTTTGCCTAATGCTTAAATTCTCGAGTTGTATTAGACCATCTCCAATGTTTTTTGCTATTTTTTCCTCTATTATAGACGAGGCTTCGGGGGCGTCGAAACGACGTAGTTTTGGCTGTTCGATGGGGTTTAACAAAACACAACCTAACGACGTCGTATTCATTTGGGGGGGAAATCAGAAATTAGGGATTTTGTTCTTCTAGTGTCGAGAGAGAGAGAGAGAGAGAGAGAGAGAGAGACGATTCAGAGAAAGGAGAAGGAGAGAAATCGAAAGGGTGGTTGAGTGAAAGATAAATCGAAACGAAGAAGAGGCGATTTGAATCGACATCCAAGTTACAATAGGGTCTGTGAGGAGGCGATTTGAATCGAAACGAAGAGGAGGTAAATATGAATCATTTTTTTTGAACAATGAATCGATTTTGCATGATTGACTTGTTGTGGTTTTAATGTCGAATTATCTTATGATTGTTGCAGTGTAATGGATGATATAATATTCATTATGTACCACAGTGGAAATTGGGTGATTAGTGAAGAAGGTGATGATGCTTATGTTGGTGGTGAGGTGCATGTTATCGAGTGTAAACCCGAAGATTATTCATTTTCAACTTCAAATCCTCAATCTCTTCAACCATACCCTCATCAGTCCATTTAAACGTGTGATACCATCGACTATAGCAAATCGAAACTGAATTCATTATTTTCAAACATAAACAAACTAGTTGATTAAATTCTGGAAACAAAAATGATGATAATACCTCATCTGATCCATTAGTACAAGAGTGAAACAATCTTCCAGGGTTTTTAGCCGTCTTTTATGTGCCCATCCTCACTAGTTCACCACATTTGCATCTCCTTGGGAAACCTCTTCCTTGATCACCCATTTCGATTTCTCCCTTTCTCCTTTCTCGGAATCGTCTCTCTCTCCCTCGACACTAGAAGAACAAAATCCCTAATTTTGGATTTTCCCCCAAATGAATACGACGTCGTATGGTTGTGTTTTGTTAAACACAATCGAACAGCCAAAATGACGTCGTTTCTACGCTACCCCGAAGCCTCGTCATTTGCCACGTCGGCTGCTTAATTATCGTTTTTAGACTGAGAGTTAACACCGTTTCGGGCTTTGTTGGTTTTCGATAAAATTATAGAGTTCAGTATGAAATTTTAATTTATTGACATATGAAGTTGGTTTTTTCCTAGGGTCATTGTCTGGGTATAAAAAGGTTGCTGGAGAATAGTAGGGGTCGATTTTGGCCAATTTTTCCTCTATAATAGAGGTGAGTTTTGCTTTAATGATTTCCTCTATTTTTTCCTCTATAATAGAATATTTCATATAGATTCTTTTAAAATTTTAATATTAATACCATTTATTTATAAAAGTTGCAAATTAATTTTATTTAAATTAAACATTTATTATAAAAACATCATATTATATTTTATTTTTTAATTAAAAATTACATCACATTACATAAAAAAACAATAAGATACTAGATTCTTAACCATCTGCATAAGTATATTTTTTGGACTAAAATCTGTGGTGCCTTTTGACCCATATCCTTATTCTAATAAAGGTTTGACCAAAGGAAAAAATAATTAATTTATTTAAAAAAATCGAAAATGGGTGTAAATACCTACCCACCCTTACTAAAACCTAAAAATTACAGATCCAACCACACCAAATCCGAAAATCCATTCCACTTTCGGATATCCATCGGATCCTTCACCCTTTTGTCTTCCTAATCGATTGAAAAATCACAAAACTCCTAAATCCTAAGTGTTTGAAAAATCCGAAAATCACAAGCAGTTCGTCGGGTACAACTAAGGACAACTCTATTTTGGGTAAGTCAAAATCGATGATTCTTTGGGTATTTTATGTTAGATCCGCTTGAATGTTGATTTAGGTATTTTCGATTTGTTAATCTTAATTTGGGGTTGTTGATTTTGTTTACTACTCAAGGATGTTGTTAATTTTCGGTTGTTTATTTTGTGTGAAGGAGAAGAATGGTGCGTACAAAGAACGCAAGCTTTAACAAAGAATCAGATCCAGTAGGTGAAATCGAAAAGGCAACAGATGCAATCGTAGAAGAAAATGGGACTCGTGGAGATGATTCTAAAGAAACAAATTCGAATCTGAAATCAAATTCTGGGGATTCAACGATATGTACAACTTGGATAGAATAGTACAACTTGTGCGAACTCGGTATAACTAGTTTATTTTGACTAAGAAATTGATTTGTTTTATGTTATGTTTTTGAATCATATTATATGTGAACTCTTTAGATTGTTTGTGGTTTGTTGTGTTTTTTTTTTGGATTGGTGTGTTTTTGAACTATTCTGGTTTAGCTTAATGTTGTTTGTTAAGTTTATGAGTCCATTTATAGGTAAACTAGGTACAACTGCACTGAAAATATCAACTTGGTATAACTAAATACGAGTTGTACCATTACAAAATACAAGATTTACAACAATACAATACAACACGAGAAGACAATCACATAAACGAGTATACACATAAGATCCCCGATGCTCCATATTCGCAGCTCATTCTCTAGAAATCACAGAATTTCAGTGGTAACTCAGAAATTGCAAAACCTAAAAGAAGACCAAATCGGAAATCGCAAACCCAGAACGAAGAAGGAGAAGAGAATAAAACCCAACTCTAGTAAACCCTACCTAGCTAACCCGATTCCCCCCTTTCAATTTGTTTTGGAAATATGAATTTAAAAAAAAAGGTATAAAAAAAAAAGAAAGGACCAAACAACAAACACGTCATCCATGTTACTCACGTGTAGCCACCAAAATGCACATGTGTAGCCGCCAAAAGACACATGTGCAGCCGCCAAAATGCACTAGGTGTACCAAAATTTCAAGTTATACTAGTTTTGGCAAGTTGTACATTTTTGATTTTTTTGTTGTAATTAGTTATACCATGTTTAAATTAAATATTTTTAGTTGTACACATGATTTTAATTAATCGAGATACACATACCACATGTACATGCCTAAATATTTTTGAAAACATTAAAATCTTAGCTTTTCTAATTATATGTTGTTTGCAATGAGAAAGTGAACCTTAATGTATATGGTATTTCATGATAAACTTAGAATATGATGAAGAAATCTATAGTGAAGTATAATTATTATTCTTTATTATATATGTAACCATGGTTGTAGTTAATTGAACTACATTAACAATACTTACATGCAATAATATGTGTTAAAACTTTATTTTCCTAGCTTTTGTAGTTTTGTGTGGTTTACATTAAGAAAGTGAGCCTTAAATTATAAGGTGTTTGATGAGAAACAAAGAATATAATAAATCTATAATTACAATTTTTTCTTTAACTAGTTCTATATAACTATTATATATTTTAATGATAGTAAAAAGGTTATAAACAAATATTAGTTATACAATAATAGTATTTTTAACAAAAATAATCAAAAATATATTTTATTAAGTATTATAAACAAACCAAACACTAGTGAAAACATGTTTATATTCCTTAATTAATTTTGTATAAGTAATACATAATAAGTTGTCATGAATTCCAACTAAGTATATAAAAAATACATAATAAGTTTTCATAGATATGAATTTTTTATAAATATTATTCATTGTATTATGAAATATATAATAAATACCCACTATCGATGTATAAATAATCCATAATACATAACTAACTATACCTAGTAATACTAGTTGTACCCATCTTAGTTATACCAAATTCTGGTAAGCTGTACTACATTCATAATTCACTAGTTTTAGATTATTTTCTTGCGATATAGTTCGATTGAAATGTTAAAATCCATATATTTATTAACACAAATTGACCCAGATAAATTCTTAGAACAAATATACAACTCAATTTCATAGTTTTCAATGGTGTTAGCATTGATTATGAAGAATTTTAAGTTTAGGAGAGAGAATGAAGAAGAGAGAGAAACGAAAAAGGAAGAAGAAGATATGTTGGTGGAGTCCACATTTTTCTTTTTCTTTTTAATTTAATTAAATCAATAATAGGCGGGACAAAATATGTCTTTAAATTGGTCAATATATAGTCAAAGTGTATTAAGAACATAGAAGGGTATGTGTGTATAAAGACCTTGGTCAAAGGGCACAAGAGACTCTAGTCCGTATTTTTCCCACAATGATCAACTAATGCATTTCAAAGTGAGAAATGAGCTTCTTTATCTTTTCTTTTTTTGAATCGACCTAGAAACTCTTGGAAACGAATATCATCATCTTCTGCTATTTGGACCGCTAGAGGTGGAACTTCTCTTTCAACTTCAATCGGTGCATCGAGATCATGCTCATCCTTAATTATCATATTATGTAAAATTATACATGTAGTCATTAATTCATGTAACACATTTTTTTTCCAAAAACGTACTGGTCCTTTCAAAATAGCAGAACGAGATTGTAACACTCCGAATGCGCGTTCCAAAAGGTGAGAAGACTCCAGCACATTGATATCATTATTAGTGCCTGGTAATCCAAAATATGCATGCCAAATCCAAAGATCATAATCTGCCACAGCTTCCAAAATTATATTAGGTGATCCACTACGGCCAGCGTATTGTCCAGCCCAAGGAGTAGGACAATTTTTCCACTTCCAGTGCATGCAGTCTAAGCTACCAAGCATCCCGGAAAAACCTCGTTTTTCACCAATGTAAAGAATTCTGGAAACATCATTCGGTGTTGGTGATCGTAAGTATTCCTCTGAAAATATCTCTACTATGGCTCGACAAAACCTTTTCATGCTTTCGATTGTCGTTGATTCGCCTATTTTTATGTACTCGTCTAAAGCATATGCAGGAAGTTCGTATGCTAGCATTCGAAATACCACCGTTATTTTTTGAAGAGATGATAACCCGAGTCTACCCGTTGTATCTCTTCGTTGTGTGAAGTACTTGTCATGACTTTCAATGCCATGAACAATACAAAGAAATAAGGGACGAGACATACGATATCTCCTACGAAATGTAGCCTCATTGTATTTCGGGGTCTCCGAGAAGTAATCATTAAACAATCTGTCATGAGCACTTTTTCGATCACGGTGGACGAAAGAACGCCCATGAACTGAACCACCATGGATTGCTTGATTGTCTTGTTGATTTAGAAAAAACTGAATAACTGAATTGTTATTAGAAATAGCATGTTGTATAGCTTCTTCTTCATGATCGTAATTATTGATGATTTATGTATATTCATCATCATCATCAGAAGAAGATGAAAATTGAAAATTCATTTTGGAAAAAAATATTTGCAAGGTAAATAATTGTTTTGTTGTAATTAATTCCGTAGACTATGGTCCTATTTTATATATGGGATTTGCTGACATTTTTTCCCAAATTTTCTTTTATTCTGTACTAGTTAGTTGCCCGCGCTACGTAGTTTATGAGTAATTGATTCATATTTTATTTCGTACTTATTTTCTCTACTACATCATATTTTTATTTTCTATCTCATGTTGTGTTTGTATAGAAAATCTATTTTATTTTAGTTTTGATAATAGTTGAGAAATTAAGCGTGTATAGTATAAATCGATGTGTAGCATAAACGGAAGTGTTATGGAGAGTTGCAGAAAAATGTGTTATTAAGGCTCCCACCAAATATAGATCTAGATGATGTTAATATTGTAGGTTCTTTTAATATGTTGGTCAAAAAGTTGAGAATGATTTGTGGATTCGCGCGAATTGTTGTATTTTTTATTGATTTGGCGATTTGTTGTTTATTATCTATTTATTTTTGTTTGTTATGTTTTTGTTTGTTATTTTTATTTGTTATATTTGTTTGTTATATTTGTTATTTGTTTTTGTTATGTAACATACATATTAGTATAATCTACTTTATACTAATTTAACATATTTATTTTATTATAGTTATTATTTGAAAGGACTTTTCATATTTTTTTTTGAAAAAAATTGTTTTCATGTGTATAAATCTTTAAATTAAATGACAAAATGGTATAAATAAATTATTAAAATTAAATAGTAAAATGACGTGGATGATGTTTGAAAGGACTTTTCATATTTCTTTTTAAAACTTGTTTACATGTGTATAAATATTTAAATGAAAGAATAAAATGGTATAAATAAATTATTAAAATTAAATAGTAAAATGATGTGGATGATGATTAGAATGATGAGGTGGCTTAAGGAGAAGAGAGCAAAGTTAACTTTATATATATAGATAATTATTCTTTTTAAATAAAAAAGAGGACAACTTTGACTACTTTGACAACAATTTAGAAAATGAGGAAGACAAAAACTTCAGTTTTTTTTCTACGAGAAATACAAACTTTTTCTCATTCCCAATTTACATCAATTTTAAAATATTTATTAGTTGACTAGACATTTGATTGGACACTTGACATTGAAAAATAAATTGTAATTACCAAAAAAATTGAGAATCTGCAAATGCATTCTTTGACCTCTTTGAATTAACAAAAAAAAATTGAAATTTACAAATTGATTATCAACTTTGACCTCTTTGACCTCTTTGACATGACAAACAAAATGCACAATTCACAAACCCATTTTAAAATTTTTGCATTATAAATTAAGTATGCATTGATTACATAATGGAATATTACCCAAAAAGCATGCATTGGTCATTGACGTGTAGACAAACATCAAATAACATTTTTTTACATCTATAAATATTGTTATTGTTAGATTGTTTGCATTCACAACACTAAAAAATACATCTATAAAATGTCTCGCTCAGCTGGATATTCGGTTGAACAAGACAAATTATTATGTGAAGTTTATATGCAAATTTCTCAAGATCCAATTCAAGGTGTTTATCAATCATCAGATCATTTTTGGGAACGTGTGGTCGAAGCTTACGAGAAAGGAAAAGATATAACTTGGAGTGAACGTTCCAAAAAATCAATTCAGTCTCGCATTCAAATGATTCAGAAGGCGACAAAAAACATGCATGCATGCATTAAGCAATGCGAAAATAGATGTCCAAGTGGTGCTTCAAATGATGATATTGTAAGTAATAATATATAATTTATGTAAATTGTTTTTTTATGGCTAAGGAAGTTTTAAATATTTTTTGTTTTGTGTTTTTGTCGTTTTGGCTATTTTAAAAATAATGTTATTAAAATGAATGTTTTTGTTTCTAATGATGCAGTTTAATCAAGCCAAACTAATGTTTAGAGAAGATTCAAATTTTAAAGGAGGTTGGAAATGTGAGCATAATTGGAATATTGTTAAGAACTTTGAAAATTTTAAAGATGGTGTTGCCCGTCCTAAACGTTTATCTATTTCATTGGGTTCTGAGTATACATCTTTGGAATCAGAAAATCTTACCAATGATTCTCCTATGCAAGCATCTCCAAATTTATCTTCTTCTTCACTAAATTATGACGAAGCTATAGATGGATCTCCCTCTCCACGATCACTTGGGGTAAAAAAGTCAAAACTGAAAAGAAAAATTGGTGATCAAACAACATCGGTTATCAACACTTTAGAAGAAGGAAATAAGCAATTTTTGGAGCAACTGAAGATGGCAAGTGACCAAAGACAACAACAATTGGAGATTGAAAGTAAAAATTATGCTTTGAAAGAGCAGAAGGAAGAAAACAAAATTTTATTTTGTAACTTGAATACCTTACATCCAAATGTTCGTGGATATTTTGAGGCGGAACAAGCACGAGTTATACAAAAGCGGAATGATAAACAACAAAACCAACAAGCTCCTCCTCCATCTACTTCGTTTGGATCGTTTGGACAATACTTTAACGACATTGGTGGATCCGGAAGTAATTTAGGAGAATATTAAGTTTTTTTTTGGTATTAAAAGTATTATTATGGAATAAATGAAAAAAATAAAATCTTTTTTTTTCCTTCAATAAAAATAAAATCTATTATTTATATATATTAACTTTTGCAAATGGTAGTCTCAAATTTTATAATATATATTTTTATTAAAACCTTTAAAATAGTTTATATTATTATTAGTTATTAAATATATTTATTTTGGTCATAAATAAAAGAAGTTTGAGATTAAAAAGATTATTTTGCAAGAAAATAATTCACCTCTATATATAGAGGAAAAAATAGAATACCTCTATATATAGAGATAAAAATAGCAATCTATATAATAGAGGTGGATATAGAGGTGGGTTGGAGCAAAATTTGCTATAAAATAGAGTTTAGAGGAAGAAATAGAGGTGGGTTGGAGATGCTCTTAGGGGTTTTCTTCATTTTGCTCTAGAATTTCCAGAATCTTGTAAACTTCATATCTTTTGATCTATTGAGTATTTCGTGTTACTTCTTGGTATTATTTTGCTTCTTTCTCTTAGATCTATATAGTTATGCATGATTTAGAGATTTCTGGGTTTGAGTTCTTAAGTATGTTTAGCAGATCTAAGAGATTCCTTAGGTTTTGGGGATGAGTTAGATGTGTAGGTGGAGAACTTTAGGTAGCTAGGTTGCCCATAGGTAGAAATGTTTAGATTTCCTTCTTGATTAGTGTATATAACACTAATCCCATTCTGATCAAGTGGTGATTAGCTTTCAGGCTTCCACGCCCGAGAGGTGTTCGATGGAATGTTGGATAATCTAATACTAGAGAATTTCATGTCTAGCACAAGAGATTGGTTGTCTAGAGTGTTATTTGACATTAATGAGCTGAGTCTTAATGCCTATTCGTTTCAGTTTTCATCAACCAGAAGTTGAGGTTAGGAAGTGGTTTGAATTTGATAGGCTTTGTCAAGAGATTGAACTGGTTAGCTTATGAGCTTGTTGTCTAGGAAACAGCACTATTTGTGTTTGATTGATTTTTAGCAACCTAGTGAACTTAAAGATCTCCACTGAAGTCACCATCTCATCTGTAGAACCTTCCTTTAATTGATTGATTTACCATGCTTCATTATTGTTCTTGCATTTCTAGTTCACTGCATGTTATTTTTTCTGTAGTTTGATTTCTGGTTTAGTTTAATGTTGTGTCTTGCTTAGATCTTGCTTGTTTTCAATGCACTAGTTGATAGTTCAAAATCTTTCCTGCTTGGCTTAACTTGTTAAATATTGATTGCATCTAAACTGCTTGCACGCATCCTTATGGATCGATAAAGCCCTTTATACTACAATTATAATTCATCTTTGCGACTACGTCTAACCAATATGTTTTGGAAACATTTATTTAGGGTGCAATGAGGATGCCCCTAAAAGGCGGACGCATGTTCAGTTGATAAAGCAACAGAAGAAAATTTGAGTAATCTGGTGAAGATAGGAGAGAAGCTATTGAAGAAATCAGTGTCAAGAGTAAATCTAGAAACGGGGTGCAATGAGGATGCCTACAAGACTACAAACGAGAAGGCTCTTATCAAGTACGCTCAATTATATTGTTAGATCATAGAGAATATAAAAACCCAAATTAAATTATTAACATTCTCGTTAACTATATATATATATATTTTTTTTTTCATTGAACAGGTTAGCAGGAACCCTCTCTAAGAAGAAAAGACTTCGTGACATTAGATCTCCTCATGAAAAACTTCCAAAGCGAATAAAACAAACACCATTTAGTTTTTATCATATAACTTATTGAAGACTAAAGAGATCACATGTACTATATCTTAGTAAGCTTATGTAACACCCGTGTCTGAAATTTTAGTGGTGTCGACCAACACTAGTGTTGGGTGTCGATCGACACAAACAAAATTGTGTTAGACATTTTAGCTTTTAAACCGTCGGTTTATTTGGAATTGATTGGAGGAATCCTAGGCACGACTTTAAACTCGTGGAAGCAGCTTTTCCTTCTCACTTTTGGCTTTTGTCGCTTCTTGAAATCAAAAGAGAGAGAGAGGGTTGTGAGTTGGTTGTTCCTAAAGCTTAAGGAGAGGCTTGTGAGGGTTTTTGGGGGTTTCTGGAGGCTGTTCTTCAGTGTTCTAGCAAGGGATCAGTGGGATTCGTGGCTGTGGGTGTGAAGAGAGGTTGTTGGAGTGTTCTTCTTCTCTGTTTCGTCCATCCCTCCAATCTAAATCAGAGGTGAGTGTGTGACAATGGCTTATTTAAGCGTTAAGATTGAATGATTTGTGTTTATGTGATGTGTGAATTGAATCCTTTGTATTTGTGATGTTTTCTGGTGTTTGTGTGGCCTTGTGTGACTGTTATTGGGTTGTGTCATCGTGGGAGGTGATGTGATGGTACTATTAGGATCCTTGGGTGGCTGAGATCGTCGTTGGATGCGTTTCAGGGTGTGGGTGTCGACCGACACCAGGTGGGTGTCAGTCGACACCATTCGGATGATCGCAGTGCAGTTTGGTGGTGTCGACCGACACCAGATTTCTGTAAGCGATATTTGTGCTTTTGTTTGCCTGTTTTGGGTGTGTGTGACATTGTTGATGTATGAATGTGATCCTAAGTGCTTGTGTGTATAGCCTAGTTGATGGGAGGATCGCTTCACTGAGTATTTGTGATAATACTCACGCATCTCATTGTGTTTGTGGTCCAGGTAAAGTGTGACGTGGAATCATGGCAATGAGGAGGAGGATGATCTAGGGTCTCAGTTGATATTTTTATGAATATGTTAAATTGTTGTTGGAACCTGGTTTAGAGGCATGCTAGGTTGCTGGTATAAATTGTGGTTATTGAATAATTGGTTAATTAATATTATGATTAATTGATGTTGGTTTTATATGTTTCCGCTGTGCATGATGGTTTATTGTTGGGTTAATTCGGTTAGATTAATTAGTGGTTATGAGAGTATTAATTAATGAATTTTTTTATTAAAAAAAATGGGTCCGGTCTTTTTAGCTTATCATATGATGTCAAAAATAAAAAGTAAGCTTATCATATTGAGTACTGATAATGTACTTTGATTTCCAAAAATTATAAACATCTAAGTAACATTAGAAAGAGTTTATGTAGTAATAAGTTTAGTGTAATTTCTGTTTTATTGACATTCAGATTTTTCATATTATAAAATAAATAAATGCTAGTATGTTTCTCTTTAAAATAAAATAAAAATTGCTAGTATATTTCTCTTATCACATAGTTATTGACTTAAATAATTTTTCTTTCACAAACGTAAAAAATAATAAGAAAAAACAAGTTTTAAATCTTTAAAGTGTTAATGGGTAGCATTTTAAACGTTGAAAGATTTCTATTAATACTATAAACCACCAAAATAATCTTATTACCACTTTAGTCTGTTTTGCACCAATCGAAGATATCTTACGTTTTTTATGACCAACTCATAAAATAATAGTCATATTAACTTCATTTTTAACACATACTATCATATAATCTGAAAGCTTTTAATATATATATATATATATATATATATATATATATTTATAAAATTTGTTATAATTTTAAAATATTTCTTTAATCAAATAATCATCAAAATAATTTGAATTATTTGACTTTTTAAAATTAAAAGCATTTGAATAGAATCCAATTTGATAGCGAATTGAAATGGCTATTTTATTTAGGATTTTTTTAGGGAAATTATCTTAGAGAGAATTATCTTAAATACCAGTAAACGGGCGGGTACTCAATCTTATTATAAAAAGTATGGGTTTCAAATTTAGTCATTAACGTGATCGTGACACATGTCAATTGAATCAATAAATATGTTAACATTTGTCAATTTTAAATTTATTAAATTTTTAAAAAAATATAAAAGGAAAGTTCTAAACCTATTTCAAAAATAAAAAGGAAAGTTCTATAACTTATTTCAAAAAGGAAATCTATATTTTTCATTAAAAAAAAGAAATCTATACAGAAAAACAATTATTTGTTCATATACTAAAAACATTAAACATACTCGTCATTAATGCACAACTATATATATCAATTAGTAGTGGTTGAGTTTCTCCTATAGTTCCACATGAAAAACCCGAACGGATATCAGTTTATAGCCTTCATGTCCAATTGAAATATGACATAGAGATTTTTTTTACTTTTCTTTAGGCCATGGCGGCTGGTACTCCTATGATTATAGAAGCAACTCGGCAGAAAAAGTAGTTTTATTGCATTTTAGGAACCATAAATATAAGCACATTAAATATTACCAAAAATAGAAATTCTAGGCACAATAGCAAGAAATATTGTAATCGAGGTGGGTGAACCCTTATAGATATGATTTATCTATGTGCATTCTTCGCATGTGCTTCACGTGCCATCAACGCTTCGCTCTCCTCTTATTCTTCATTGCACGGCTCGGTTTGGATGGATTTTGCCCTTCTTTCCCGCTTAAAAAAGATAAGGTTGTATCACATCAAGATTTTATTTCGTTTTCCGTGTCCAATGAGATAGGGAATTTGTAACCCCTATTTCTATTTAAGGACCCTTCATTTTTCTGCATCTAGAGCCTTCATCGACATATTCAATTAATTTATTAGTTTTTAACATAAGTTTTAATATTTTCAGTTTTATAACTTCAAATATGTATATTATTTTCCTTTAATCGTTGAAAATATTATTAATAATCTTATTATTATGTTAATTTGTTTTCTAAACTTTTAATGGTTGGTCATAAAGTCAATGCTATCAAGTATATTTTTCTTAGTTTTCATACACTTTATTTTTTGAGTAAACAAATTTAGTAGTTAAACAAACTATGCAAAAAATTGTTTTAGTGGTTAAATAAACCATGTAAAAGCTAAAGTAAAAATGATGAATGTGTTCATAGAGACATTTTATACGTTGTGACAAAGAGCATACTTAATAAATGTTTTAGTGGTAAAACATATAGTAAAATCGTTTATAGATGTTAATAAGACGACGATTTGATGGATGTTTTGCATCTGTGACCAGCAAATAATCCCGGTTCATCCCTTATGTTGGTGTCCCTATCTATCCGTATCAAATTAAACCAATCACATACAATTGTTTCATCCTCTCTCGCTCTCTCTCTCTCTCTCTCTCTCTCTCTCTCTCTCTCTCTCTCTCTCTCTCTCTCTCTCTCTCTCTCTCTCTTGTAGGATTAAGCTTGAAGGAAACTTGAAATTCAAGTCAAAAGAAGATTAGGATTAAACTTTATATTTAGGAGATTATCTAAATATATAATTGTGAGTTTTCCTAAAAAGGTTTAGGAAATAATGTCTAGTTATTTTCTTATATAAGAAGATGCTAAGCATGTGGCATAACTTAAGTTTTGAGAAAGAGAGATTGAGAGCTTTAGGTTTTGAGAGATTTTCCTAACGAAATAAAGGGAGTAATTCTTTATAAGTTGTTCTTAATCTTCTTCTTCTCTAAACTAGATTTGGTATCAGAGCCAAACAAAAACCGAACACGCATAAACCGCTTTAACCATGGGTGATATTGTTCCCGTTCCCGTCGTGAAATCTGGTGGAGGATCCTCCTCTATCCAATGTCCTATGCTAACCTTGACGAATTACACCTTGTGGGCCATCCGGATGAAGTCACGTCTTCGTGTGCATAAAGCTTGGGAAACCATCGAGAACGAAACAGAGGATGTGGAGAAGAATGATATGGCGACAGCTCTTTTATTCCAATCCATACCCGAGTCCCTTGTCCTACAAGTCGGCGGTCTTTAAACCGCCAAACAAGTCTGGGATTCACTCCAAACCAAGTATGTAGGTGCTGAGCGAGTCAGGAGGCACGACTTCAAACACTTATGGCCAAATTCGACCGTCTCACGATGAAAGAAACAGAGAGTATTGACGACTTCAGTGGGAAGCTCTCCGAGATAGCTTCCAAATCATCCGCCTTAGGTGAACTCATTGGGGAACCAAAACTTGTAAAAAAGTTCCTTAAGAGTCTTCCGTGCAAGAAGTATATTCACATTGTTGCCTCTGTAGAACAAGTTCTCGATCTTAAGAAAACAAGTTTTGAAGAATCGTTGGCCGTCTTAAGGTTTATGAACAACGAGTGTGTGATAAACATGACTCTTATGATGAGCAAAACAAGTTAATGTACTCTAGTGCGGACAATACGGGTTACTCTCGTGATGGTAATGGAGATTCTAGAGGCTGTGGTCGAGGAGGAAGAAGTTACCGAGGCTGGGGACGTGGAAGGAATGGTGGGAGAGATATATCACAAATTACTTGCTTCCGATGCGAAAAAATGGGTCATTATGCTTCCTTTTGTCCAGATCGATTATTGAAACTGCAAGAAGCACAAGAAAGTGAGAAGCAAAACAACAAGGATACACAAATAGCGGATGAACTCATGATGCATGAAGTAGTCTATTTGAACGAAAAACATTGTGTGCCAAGCAAGTTTGAAACAAACCTTGAGGAAGAGAATGTCTGATATCTTGATAATGGTGCAAGCAACCATATGACGGGGATAGGAGATACTTTGATCAGCTTGATGAGTCAATCACTGGAAAGGTTAGGTTTGGGGATGATTGACGAGTAGATATTAAAGGCAAAGGAACGATTGCCTTCATCGATTTGAATGGGACTCCAAGAGCAATGACTAATGTTTACCAATGACTAATGTTTACTTTATACCCGATCTTAAAAGTAACATTGTGAGTCTCGGACAAGCGACGGAGTTGGGATGTGACATACGACTGAAGGGAGAGTATTTGACAATGTGTGATCGTGATGGGAAGCTTCTTGTTAAGGCAGAGAGGTCAAAAATCGATTGTACAAAGTACGAATGAATCTAAGAGATAATGCGTGTCTCTATCTAACAAGCCTAAGTGAAACAAGTAAATGGCATGCTCGCATGCATGGGACATGTAAATCTTGTGACGCTAAAGGCAATGATAGATAAAGATCTAGTTCAAGGAGCTCCAAAGATCACTATAGAAAAGGAGATTTACAGCTCATGTTTGCTTGGAAAACAATCTAGACATTTTTTCCCTCAAGCAACCACTTTTAGAGCAACAAAGATGCTTGAACTCAGTCATGTTGATCTATGTGATCCAATAACTCCAAGTACAAGTGCTGGCAATAGGTATATCTTTGTGCTTATTGATGATTATTCACGTTACATATGCACTATACTTTTAAAGGAGAAAGGAGATGCTTTTCATAAGTTCAAGAACTTCAAGACTATGATTGAAAGAGAATCAGGAGAAAAGATTCAAACATTCAGGACAGACCGTGGAGGGGAGTTTGTCTCTCTTGAGTTCAACTCCTTTTGTGAAGAAAATGGAATTCAACGTCACTTAACCGCTCCATACACGCCTCAGCAAAACGGGGTGGTAGAGAGACGCAATCAGACCATGATGGAGATGGCGAGAAGCATCTTAAAACACATGTGTTTGCCAAATTATCTGTGAGGAGAAGCCATAAGAAACTCTACTTATTTGCTAAATCAAGTATTGACAAAAGCACTGAAAGAATAAACTCCCTATGAATGCTACAGAGGCAAGAAACCAAACATAGATCACATCCGGATTATTGGTTGCATCGCATATGCGAAAGTTGATAAACCACACTTGAAGAAGCTGGAAGATAGAACATGCATACTTATTCATCTTGGAACTGAACCTGGATCAAAAGCATATCGTTTACTTGATCCACAAGCAAGAAAGATAATTGTGTGTCGTGATGTTATCTTTGATGAAACA